TACTACTAAATACACAAACAAATAACATTACTTTAGCAGTGCGAACCAAAGGAAGAAGATGTACAAATTGATATTTGCTACAATATGTATGTTAGCTATACGTATAAGCCAATTTGTGCTGACATCTGGAATGAGAAATTAAAGCATCCCTGTGTACAGTAGAAAAATATATTTATTACAGGCTGTTTCAAGGACTTTCCCCATGACTGACATAGACATGTACATAGTGAAGTTATTTCTGTGCCTGAAGCATGGTTTTATACGAGAGCAAGATACATAAGCCATTGCAGGCTCTGTTTGGTTAGTAGCTAGTTATGATCTATACTATTAGGCATGTAAGTGCAGGCCTTCTGAAACAATCCAGAAAACAAATGTGTTACTGGAGCATTGTTAAATAATATTAGAAAAAATGTTTCTGTACAAGTGACTCCTAAGTAGTAAATAGCATGCATGTGTACAGTCCCACTCCAAAAAACACGACCAGATTGTTTCAATGTCAACAATATAGTAGTGGGGGTGAGAAATGGTAGTACTACACTCAACGCATGACAAATATTAAACATCTGTTCGTTCCATCTTGTAGTCCCTTGTGAATAATTTATATCTGAGGCAAACCATGCATACATTCATTCTGGCTAACCACATCTGCTCTTTAACTCTTGTTCCAGTTATGTAGACAGGATGCTGAGGTATACCAGAACCATCTTAAAGGAAACCTATACTGAGAGAAATATGTTGTTAACCTGTTTCTAAAATGGCTGGTTACCTGGCTGTCTCTGGCTTTAATCATCTGAGTCACTGGTCAGGAACAAGCATGCATTCAGCAAAGACACAGTGAAGTCAGATCTCTTGATTATGCATATTTCATAAAGGTTGGGCCACAGCTCTCTTTGAAAGAAAGCTTTTAGTCTATAACTTTGCAAACCGAAGGATCTTTGCCAGTTTTGGGAAAGATTGTTATGTGGTATGTTAAGTTTCACTCCTCCTAGCTCCTCGGCTCCATTTAGTGGCAGTAGTGCCCTGTGTGCGTCATGGGCTTAGCTATACGCGGTGCTGACAAGTTATAAATTAGCCCCAAAGTGTTATGTTATCACCACTTGCTCTTTTTCCTGTTATTTTTAACAGGCACCTCACTGAAGCAAGTAGTATTTTTAAAAAGCAACAACCTTACCTCAAACATTTATAAAATAATGCGCATTTGGTCAATTCAGCTGATTCATAATGCCTTCGGTGAGCTAAATGATCAACTTTTAGTTGTAAAGAGAAAAAACTTATAGATGGAAATGAAAATTCCACATGCATTATGCTTCTGTGAATTGAGCATAGAGTCTGCAAAGGTGGCAAGCGCTAGATTTCCACAGCATCTGTTTAGATACAGGCAGTCCCCGGGTTACGAACAAGATAGGCACTGTAGGTTTGTTCTTAAGTTGAATTTGTATGTAAGTTGGAACAGATACATTTTTTAAGTGTAACTCCAGCCAAAAAATGTTTTGTTTTGGATAGCATAGGGAATGGTTTATCCCCTGTAATCCCGTTTATCCCGTTTGTTTTGCTGTGTGTGCCCCTGTTCAGAAGATTTCACCTCACTTTCTGTCCCTGTGACAACTGGATTTTGAAAATTTTGGATTGTTGTGGAAACAAGGATTGGTGATAAAGCTCCAGTGGTGAAACCTTTTTCCTATGATAACTCTTACAGGAGTGAATTTCCCTTCCTGGGGTAGATTTCCTTTCGCTTCCTGTTGTCTCAAGGACAGGAAGTGAGATTAAATCTTTCTAATGAGGATACAGACAGCAGTAAAAACCTCACAGTGACCCGGAAGAAGAGGTGGGCACCCCTTATCTGCACGCCTAACAAGAGCCAACTTCCTGTAATGTACGAACTGTACTACGAACCAGGCCCAAAAAGACGGGCACTCCTCGTCGGCACGGGCGCGGTAGCATTACGACTAACCCTGCTGTACAGTAATAGCCCCTGAGCCTCTGTTTGGAAGTAAGAGTCGTATGTAAATCGGATGTATGTAACTCGGGGACTGCCTGTACTGCAAAACAAAAGTACATGTAGCTTTTATGCCATTTTTTATGATTATTTCAGCAGCGCATTCTTTTTAAACAACAATTGTGTGCTTTCATGACTGCAGGTCTCTTTAAAAACATAAAAAGATCACAACCATACATGGGGAGAAGGCATAGCATGAAGAGGGCTTTGTGACTCCAGCTACAGGACCTTTCTACCACATGGCTGTGTCTAGTGTTTAGATCAGCGGTAGACAACCTCAGCACTCCAGCTGTTGTGGAACTACAAGACCCATGAGGCATTGCAAGACTCTGCCAGCCACAGGCATGACTCCCAGAGGCACAGGTGTGATAGGATTTGAAGTTCCACCACAGCTGGAGTGCTGAGGTTGCCTACCCTTGGTTTAGATCCTCCCATGCAGTAACTAGCGCTGTGTCTGCAAGTTTCAGACAGGTCGGTGTGATAGGCTGGCTCAGAAAATGACTGCCAGCCTGAGGTCGATCTGTCAGGTGACACAGAAACTACATACAGCCTGCACAGTGCAAATAAACTGTTACTGGAGTGACAAAGTCCTTTTTCATTTTTAGCAAGGCAGCAAATGGTCGCCAATTTACAGTTATGTAGAAAACATAAAGTATTCATTTGGTTGTTCAACACGCTGAAAACAAATTCTATGGACTATGCAAATGTGTTGTAGAATGCCATATTTCCTTTTCATGAGACAAGGGAAGATATATAAGAGCTAAGTGTATACAATTAAGCCTTTCTGTGTAATTACTACAAACACACACAATATTCCTCTGGGAAAAGCATTCTAGTAAACACTCTCATTAGGAAGGAGTATTGAGATTTAGTGCTGGCCAGTTGTTCACTAACAAAGCCTTAAATGCATACTGTACATACATAAGATACAGAATCTTAAAAAGAAAACAATCCTTTATCACCAGGGAGCGCATTTGTCGAGGAATGTGAGGAGAACATATTTTAGAGTGAGTCTCTGGAACAGGCAGGCACTGTTCTACATGAATCTGAATTCATCAAAGGGCGTATCCATACATCATCAACACTGACTTCAGGGCACATTTCAGAGTATGTTCATTTGATTATTCACCCATTGCACAACTCTGTCTGATTATTCACGGCTTTGTATTAACAACCTTGAGGCATTTTTGCATTTTTTTTTTTCAAAACTACTTAAAGTGACACTAAACTCAGGAGAAAAAAAAAATACATTCAAGTACCTTAACTATTAACAAAAATGTATCTTATTTGTGTATCACTCGGCTGTAGATCCTCCAATCATCTCTGAATTGGTGCTGACTGTCCTTCCTTCTGGAGGGGGCTACTTTTGTTCCCCATGGTCCCTGTGTGTGTTGTAAAGTAGTCACCGCTTCAAGCTCACTCCCATGAAGGACTACAATCTCATGTTTAATTTACTAATTTGTATCAGGATTGTAGTCCTTCATGGGAGTAAGCTTGGAGGGTGACTACTTTAGGCCCCATTCACACTTGGCGATTCGCAAATCGCGCGTTTGTCGCGCGATTTGCATTTTGCGCAATATCGCGCGATTTCGCGCAAATGCTTGCATTGAAAAGCATTGAATTGCGGCAAAATCCGCTCCAAAAAGGGTCCTGCTGTAGCGACGCACGACCCGCGACAGCAGGACCCTTTGCCCCATTGCCATGCATTGGAGAGCGATATCGCGCGGTAAATAGCCGCGATATCGCGGGAATTACCGCGCGATAAATCGCTCAGTGTGAACGTGGCCTTACAACACACACAGGGACCATGGGGAACAAAAGTAGCCCCCCCTCCAGAAGGAAGGACAGTGTCAGCACCATTTCAGAGATGATTTGAGGATCTACAGCCGAGTGATACACAAATAAGATACATCTTTGTTATTAGTTAAAGGAGAACTATGAGGTGAGTGATTTTCAAAAAAAAAATGGCCAGGCCAGGAAGGGGGTATAAACACCCCGGTCATCAAGTGGTTAAAAGAAACATGTTTTGGCCAAAATACAGAGAATGTCATTGCTGACTTTTGAAAATGCTAGTTGTCTGGCACCTCTCCCTTGACTTGGAAGAACAATGCTGCACTGGAAGTCAGATTAAAGTCAGAACTCTGGATCTGCATATTTGCTGCAGGTCATTGACCCAAAGAATCGAAGCCATAGGATCAGAATGACATCCCGGCATCTAGCTTTTTTTTTTTTTAATACTGAGATCACAAATACTCGTCTTGTGACATTTCCTTTAAAGTAACAAAACTTCTTTGTGATGACATCTGCTTGCATCTTCCTGTCTGTAGCTTTGGCTCACAAATAGAATGATGGTACTTTCCATATGTCTGGTATAATCTGAGCTTCCAGAAACAAAGAGAACTTTGTGATTTCATATTGCAAATATGTGCTGCCCTAAACCAAGTCTAAACTTTTCACATATATCAATGAAAACAAAAGGTTTTCCAAACAAAGCCTTATCCAGCCCTGACATACCCCTAATACCGTGTAACATGCTTTACAATAAACATTATTATAAACAAGTATTAAGTATATTTGTAGTTTATTTTTCGTAAAACCTTTTAAGCACCCCTCCCAGGAAAACGGAAGGAAGATGTTACATACATCTACTGTATATAACAACATAAAAATAATACTGTAACGGGAAAATATTAATTAAAACTGCAGTATTTCTTCAAACCAAAACGAATCTTTTGTAATTTGATGGCGTACATAAGAGCTGAATTCAGAAGGACACATTTTCTATGACAAGTGTTACATATGCAAAAGATAAAGTAACAGTGCATTAAAAATCACACACTGACATACATCAGCCTTTCGACCAAATAAAAGTTATCACATCTGTTCTTTTCTCCGGACATATATATTCTTCTGCCACACCTAGAACACGTTGCTCCTGTGGCTTAGGATAGATGAAGTCAGTCTTTATAAAACCGCCTTTGCCTTTGAAACCTGCACCAAGAAAAGGAGGCTTTTCTCTAATGTCTGGGACAAGCTTTCAGCAATTTCTAAATGACGCTCTTGTTTCCTTTACACTTCTTCCAGGAGAACCAGATGGTGGTGGAAAAATAACACAAGCAGCAAAGACATGCAAAGGTAGATGCCACCACGTAGATCTTGTAGTAACAGGGGCCCTGGTATTTCGCCACATTGCAATATGATTGGTTCTCGATGGCAACGATTATAACGGCGGTGGCTGCGATGTGAAAGGCAGTGGTCAAAACATCATAGATGAGGTTCGTGAGGAGCCAGCGCTCACCTCCAATTAACGGTACAAGATCCTGTTTTTCCAGCAGGGTGATGAAATAAAAGAGCAGAGTGACCAGCCAGAAGAAGACGAACACAAACAGAGCAAAGCGAACAGTGTTATTGAAATTGCTGGTGGCGATCGCAATCCAGACTGCAGCACCAGTTGCAAGTTGCATTAGTCTCACCACCCCAGGGAAGCTTCTGAGGAATTTCTTGTTGGCACTGAGGGAATTCCTGATGCCTTGGTCAGCCATTGCATAGACTACAGACACTCTCGCAGAAAAAAAGGGAAGAGAGGACTTAATCCAGACTGAATTTCTGCAGCACAAAACTTCTCCAGTGTGCAGAAAAAGCAGCAATGAAACACGTTTTATACAATCCAGCTCTTGTCTTCTTTTAAAGCAGATTGTAAAATCCCTTTTCAGCTTCCTTTTTTGTGCTCCTTCAGATGTAGGGTGTAGGCAGTCCCACCATGTAACCTAATGCCTCTCTCTCCCTTTTTTTTTTTTTTGGTG